AGTTCATGACCGGCTTCCACGAGGTCGCAGACATCCACTGCAACGTGTGCGACACCGTGCTGGGCTGGAAATACGTAGGTTGGCGGCGCGTCGGGGGGCGAGCGCTTCGCGCGGGTGGGAATGTGGGCCGTGCTGACTGTGTAGTGTGTGTGCGTCGCGTTTTGTGTGTGCGAGGGCAGCTGCATGCGCACGAGGAGGCGCAGAAGTACAAGGAGGGGATGTTCCTGGTGGTAAGTAGTGCGCGGGCGTGGGTGCGCGAGCTTGTCGCCACGCGATTTGCTAACCGGTGCGCGGGCTTGTCGCCACGCGATTTGCTAACCCGTCCTCCCTCCCCGCCCCCCGCGCGCAGGAGAAGGCCAAGATCACCAAGGAGAAGAGCTGGACGTGAGGATGCGCGCGGACGCGGCTTGCGGCGCGGGCGGCGGGTGGCGGGGCGGCGGGTAGCGGGGCGGCCGCGCGCGCGCGCGATGTTGTACATAAAGAAAGAGTTGAGTTGGAGTTTTGCCTTGCACCGTGTGCCGAAAGCGTAGGTGGCAGCGGTACAGCGGGAAGGGTACGAGAGCAGTGAGGACGGTGGCGCGAGGTGACAGGTCGCGCAAGAAGCGGGCGTGACGCCACGCATCTTGCGCTGGCATGACGCGCGCGACCTGCGTGACGCGCGGCCGCCGCAGCGGAGATGAATGTGGGAGATGAATGTGGGAGATGAATGTGGTTCCGTCAACTCCGATGCCCCTCGGATACTTTATTGCGTCGCCACTACGGTATGCCCTATTGGCTATGTCTTACTGTATTACTGTGGTGTGCCGTACTGTCGTCTGGATGTAACCACAATGAACAAGCGCCGGCTGTGACACCTTCCCAGCGCGGAGAGTGCACGCCTCTGCCCCACCCAGCTGTCAGCCAACGTGCTGACAGCCATCCCCGCGCACGTGCACGCTGTCAGCCCCTTGTCTTACAGCCGCCGCTGCACATCCTGCTTCTGCAGTTGCCCGCGTTCCGCCTCCGCCGCAACTAGGGAAATAGATGCCGCCGGAGCCACCTTCCTCCGTGTCATTGGGAGAAACTGTAATTTGTCCAGTTTTTAGTGTCAACTCCTGTGAGTAAATAAAGCGCCGACGTCGGTCGGGAAAACGACCGAGAGGGTAGCTTCTGGAAGCTACCCCCTCGGACCGCGGAGTGTGAAGGTGGAACCACCTTCACATTCCGCGGTCGTTCTCGCCGCGAGGCCGCGGGGCG